TCCCCCAGCACCACATGCCAGCCAGCCCCACCCCCTGGTGGGCTGAGCTGGCCACACACACACACACACACACACACACACAAAATAAATAAATTAATTAATTTTTTAAAAAAGGTAGCATTATGAACAATGTCTTAGGGAAAGAAAACAGAACAGTGGAGACTCAAAGGCCTTTTAGGCCCTGCACCGCAGGGGGTGTGGGCGCATGCGCACTGCATACCTGCGGGTGCTGAAGGGCGCTCCTGGGTGGCTTTGAAGCCTTCCCTGGAACCAGGCCTGGTCAACCTGTCAGTTTGCAGGACCCGTTTCTTCATGTTGGAATCTGTGTGTGTGTGTGTGTGTGTGTGTGTGTGTGTGTGTGTGTGTCTTTTTTATAAGGGTCCTATTGTGCTATGGGGTGCACTAATTCTCCCTGAAGGTGCATGTGCCGAAACAGCTGGAAACATTTCCTTCTGCTTGGAAGTTTGCAAAGGAGAAACTTCCACAGAAGCCTTTGACAAGCCTAGCCCGTCCTGTTTGTTACAATCCAATGCCACCAGTGATTTCCCCGGTTGCCTTCTCCACAGATGTGCCCCGCTTCTGCAGGAACAGTCCCCCTGAGGGCTCAGCTTACAGTCTGTCCTCCTGCATCTATTCTGTTGCAGCCACCCCTTCCAGGGAGGTCTTCAGCTGCTACTTGTTTCTGTCTGTGCAGAGCTGGGTTAGCCCCAGGTCAGACACAAAATAATTTGCACTCGTGGAAAGACACACAGATCCACTCTCACATTCCGACCCAATGTTGGTGCCCTCTAGACCCCTCCCTGGTCTTCCCTGAAGTCAAATGAGGAAAAATGAGTCTTTGGCTCTATTTATGACATTTTTCACAGGAAAACAGGAATTCCATCCTAAAAACAATATTTAAACTCAGCCAATGTTGAGCTCAGGCACACAAAACAGTCTCATCTTTGGTCTCTAAAATGAAATGAGAGGCGAGACATCTGAAGTCAGAGAAGCTGTCCATTTCCTTGAAATTGTGATGCCACATTTTCACTGAAAAAACTCAGCTGAGCATGCACCTTGGTGGATCCGAGTTATTCCTAGAGAATCACAGCAGCCCAGGTTCCTCAAAACAGAAATAAGTAAACACTTGAGAAGGACTGGGGTGAGCGTCAGGGACACCGACCCACTGCGCAAGGCAAAGTGTCCAGAGCTATCTGATGGTTATACTCGCAACAGCACCAGGCTAAGCATGTGGGATGGATTTTAGACTTGATAAAGATAAAGGATTAGTCACCAAAGTGCATCCAGTCTAGTAAGGAGGAAGCATATTTAAAGGACTCAGTGCAAGAAAAGAAGTGATTGGAAGAGGAGAGAGAGTGTGTGTCCCGGAATCTGGGGAGAGATCATGCTTCCAGGAGAAAGTGGTCCTTCCAGCTGAGCTTCAAAGGACAGAGGGCAATCTGGGGACAGCAGGAAGCAACAGCAGGGAGACAGGGGTTTCCAGAGCACAGGGGTGCAGGCATCTCTTGGGCCTGCCTGTTGGAGGAACCCTGCTGAAAGGAGCTTAAAGATGCTGTAGACAGCATGGCAAGGACCAACCCAGAGGCCCGCAGGAAGTCTACCATGGAGGAAGTACCCCCACTTTTCTTGGAACTATCCAGACAACATCTCTGCAGAATGGGAGCTATTTCTGTGGACTTCTTCAGCAGCATCGATTCATGGCTGTTTTACCATGACCCTGGAGCACCTGCTTGAGGGGCTTGGGTGAGGAGCGGATCATGCCCAGTCAGTGTTTCAGAAGCTCTTCTGCAAAGGCTTTGTGATTGGCCCTGGAATGAACATAGAAATGCTATTTTGAACTAGTTTTCTAAAACCACTGCAGAGTTCAGAGAGTAGCATCCAATGTTCTGTTTTTCCCTTTAAAAGTGAAAACTCCAGCCAGGTGTGGTGTCATGCCTGTAATCTCAGCACTTAGGAGGCTGAGGCAGAAAGATCACTACATATTCCAAGCCGGCCTGAGCTACATAGTGAGTTCAAGGCCAGCCTGAACTACATAGAGAGACCTTGTCTCAAAAAATTAACAAAAAAGTGAAAAGTCTGAGTGTCAAGAGGAAACCCACTGGCCCAGGGCCACATGGAGAGTTGGCAGCAGAGACCACGAGAACAGTCCCTCCACTGCCCGACCATAGTGCTCTCTGCGACAGGTATTTGTTCTGTCTTCGCAGTTGTGAGTCATCAGAATTATAGGCGAAGACCATGGATGTGTTAAATATGATGTAAATTATGTTACAGCTTTGGAAATAGCGATAAATATGAAATATTTATTGAACCTCACTGGAGCCAGCCTTCCAAACTGCAGCACTATAAAAAGCAGAGAGCAGCTTAGTTTGAGCAGTGCGTTTATTCACAGTCTTGAGGCTGAGATGCTGAGGGATTGCTCTCCCCAAGGATTTGCCCCTAGTCTGTTAGTGTCTTATCTTTCTGATACAGCAGGCACCACAGAGGCTACTGGGAAAGGAGTCTCAACAGACACCAAAACAATGTATTTCCTGATGTGTACAATAATTATTGTACAAGCATGCAGCAATAATTATTATAATAATACACTTAGTACATAATAAAAAAAAAAAACCTCAGAGACTTTGACATTGCTTGTTTGAGGAAGTGGGGAGAAGGGGACTGTTGACAGAAGCGTTGTTTCAGTGACACAGCCTGAGGGGACAGAAATGTAAGATGTCTTTAAAGAGGAATATATTCACCTTTTTTTTCTTTTCTCTTTTCTGATGACTGGATTACAGACACGATGATGCATCAAAGTTCCAGCAACCACTTTGTGCCATGAGGAAACCTTGCGAAGAGAGCCTGGAGAACCTGGCAGAGCAAGCAGAGGACAGATCTGAAGCCACAATCCTCACACGAGGTAAGGCCATAACAAGTAGCTGATGTTTGTGTATTTGTTCAGACCTGAAACACTTTCAGAGCCAAGGAACAGATCTAGGGCTGAAATTGTCTGCAGCCACTATGTATAAATATCTTGTAAAATTCATCTGGAACAAGTAAAATAGGCACGTTTACCAGCAAGTTTGCTTTCTAACAAACAGCTTCAAATATTTATAAAACTGTGTGCAGCAGTATCATTCACAACGCCCACAGGTAGAGGAACCCAGGCGCCCCCCAAGCAATGAACAGAAAAAGGAAATGTGGTCTATGTGCCTACTATCAGTTCTCTTCTGCCTTAAAAGAAATGAAATTTGAGCAGGATGTGGACAGATCTGAAGGACACTGCAAAGTGAAATAAGCCAGCCGCAAGAGGATGTACACTAGCTGCGAGTAGTGACACAGGTCTGTTCTCTCAGCCCTCGGTAGGCTGAGGCAGGGGCTCCCTGCCAGTTCAAGGCCAGCCTGGGATCTATGGTGAGTTCAAGGCCAGCATGAAACGCATAGGAAGAGCCTGCCTCAGAAGAAACCAAAGGACACACACTGTGTATGCCTCAACTTCTCCAAGGTGCCTAAGAGGACAGTCAGAGCCAGAGAGCACCGTGGTTAGCAGGGTGAGGGCAGGGGAGTTCTTCTATGGACTTAGAATTCAGGTTTCACAAGACGGGACAGAAGAAAAGAGCTGTGGAAATTGGCTGTACAACAGTGTGAATGTTCCTCCCACTACCGAGCTCTCTGCCGGAAACTACGACTCAAATATATGCAAAATACAAGATGCCAAACTGCACACATACTCATATTTTACTGTAAAAAATTTTAAGTCTTTTTAAATAAAATAACTTTCTATGTCCTTCTCACATAAATTGGCATAAACATTGGTTAAAAAGCAGAAAATACAAATCAATCAAGCAGGAAACGCGCTGTTTTATACATTTCTGAGCACGCCTGGCTTTGTGAGAAGTAGTTTACAGACCTCATCCCGTTCTCCTCCAATGAGCTTGTGAGGGAGGCACTGGCACTGGCCACGCTTCATGTCAGAGGAAAACAAAGCCCACATCCCCCAAGGCCCCACATGGGGAATTAGTGGGGCGGGCTCAGAAGCCAGGTTGAATGGCTCCAGAGCACGCGTTCTCATTGCTACACTTGTGGGAATGTTCTCGTCACTAACCATTCTTTGACAGCATTATTTTTTTAAATTTTTATTCATTTTACTGAGAAAAAAAGATAACATAGCAGTGAAACAGTTTCAAAACAGATTAGTAGGACAGTTACAATAATTAATACATTGCACATTGTTGTCTTTGCAATAGTTAGTCAGAGGACAAGATGCAGACATGATATCTTGTCTACACAATATTAGTACAAACTTTCTTCTCATTGAACTAAGAGAAAGTAGCTGTATATCTATCCTGACTACCTGGTATAAATATTTTTTTCACTACAAAATGGTTCTTTATTTATATTCCCCTTTTTTGTTTTGTTTTGTCAGAGATGGGTATTCCATTGGATAGCATTATTTTTAATAATTATTGTACAAAGTTACCACAGTCTTTCTAGTCTTGTGCTAATGTTGTTTCCAACATTTTTGCTGCTACATTATGTGTTTCATTGAGCATTGTTTTAGTATTTATATTCATCTTGTCCAGGACACGTTTATTAATTAGCAGACCAAAGGTAGTATAATAAGGCTTTTCAATAAGTCTGTATTTATCTATTTATTTATTTAGGTACTGGGGGGTTGAACATAAGACTTTCACACTGAATTATAGCCTCAGCCTTTTTTATTTTTTGAAATTAATGAACATCTCACTAAGTCACCAAGTCACCCAAAGGCTGGATTCAAATTTGCAACTTTTCTGCCTCAGCCTCCTGCAGCACTGGATTTACAAATGTGTGCTACTATGCCCGGCTAAATTTTTAAGTCTTCATCAAATATCAAATTCATATTTAATTGGGAAGATGGCTCAGTGGAATAAGTGCTTCCCTGGCAAGCACAAGGTCCTGAGTTCGATCCCCGGTTCCACCAAAAAAAAAAAAAAAAATCTTTAAAAAAGGGCCGGGGAGATGGCTCAGTAGGATAAGAGCTTGACTGGCAAACGCAAGGATCTGAGTTCAATCCCCGGTTCCGCAAAAAAAAAAAAAAAAAAAAAAAAGACAAATTCATATTTAATTTATTTTAATGCTAAACAGATGTACCTGCTCAAAAAGAGACCTTAAATCTCTAAGCTTAAACATTAAGCATCTTAATAGATGTTTGTGGATGCAGAGATGATCCAATTAATTTGTCTTATTAGAAGTAAAACACATCCTGCAGGCTTCCTAGACTTCGCTGATTGTGTGGTATAAATATTTACTTTGAAAAAAATCTTTAAACAAATAGCAGTGACTTTACTGACCA